TCCCTCCCTCTCCTTCCTTCCTTCTTTCCTTCTCTTCCTCCCTTCCTACCTACCCCTCCTTCCTTCTTTCCTTCTCTTCCTTTCTCCCTCCCTCCCTCTCCTTCCTTCCTTCCTTCCTTCCTTCTTTCCTTCTCTTCTTCCTTCCTTCCTCCCTCTCCTTCCTTCCCTTCCTTCCTTCCTTCCTTCCTTCCTTCCTACCCTCCCTTCCTCCCTCCCTCCCTCCCTCTCCTTCCTTCCTTCCTTCCTTCCTTCCTTCCTTCCTCCCTCCCTCCCTCCCTCCCTTCCTTCCTTCTCTCTGCAAACCTCCCTCCCTCCTAGCGCTGATGATGTTGCCTAGTTGGGTCATGAAACACCTGCAAGAAAACCGCCAACCTCGGACAGCACCAAGGACCTCACAGCCCTCCTCTTCCTCCCCCTCCTGGCTCCTCCCTTGGATGCCGCAACGGCCCGTAAGTGTGAAAAAAATATGCATAAGTCACTTTTTTTTTATTGCCGGTTGTAACTTTGAATGGTCCCTAAATGTCCTATTATTAGTTGAGGGCTATCCGTGGTCCATGAAAAGTCGGGCCGATCAGCAAAACCTCAGCAGGTTTGGAGGTGGGAGTGGTGAATTTTGGACGCGCTGGGGTGGAGTTAGTGGGGAGGGGGCTAGAAGAGTCCTTTTGCACCCCCCTCCCCGAAATGAGCAATAATCCAGCCCAGGGTTATTGATTTAAATCCCAGAAGGAGAATTTGCCCAGGGACAACCATTCAAATTCCTCCCAGCTTTTCTCTCTGGGTTTGCAGTCAGCGAGAAAACATTATTAATGGGATTAAATCCTGCCCCCCCCGCCAGGCTGCCCCCAAAGCCCCTTGACTCGGGGGGGGGGGCTTGGCTGACCTCTCCCGGGGCTCCCACCGAGGGGGCAAACATCAACGATTAACAAAGGGCCCCCCCACCCATGCAATGTGGTCTGAGGAGAAAGAGGACAGGCGGCCGGAGAATATGGCCCCCAGCCTCAAACAGGAGGGGCTGCGATGGAGGGAAGGCGTGGGGAGGGGTGAGAAAGAGGGGAGATGGGGAGGGGGGTGGGTGG